AGCAAACCATGATCCCTGGATCGAAGCACGGGTGGTTAAGAAGGTAGGTAAGGTTATGTACGAGGCTGAGGTGGGAGCAGATAGGTGGACTAGGCATCGAAACCAACTACGCAAGCGGTCAGCTCCAGCGCGCCCATCGACCGAAGGAAAGATCCCGCTGGACATACTATTGGATACGTTTAATCTGCACGTAGCCCAAACATAAGAAGAAGAAGAAGAAGAACAAAAAGTCGATCTACGGTCCAGAAGATAGTCACTGCGCCAAAGGCGACAGACAGTCAAAATGCAAGTGGAACCCAAGAATGTTTGTTATTAAAAAGGGGAGGCGCTGGGGATGTCAAATTCCAAGAACTTACTCAGTAAATAGCTTAATTTTGTAATTTTATTTTGAAATTTTGAATTTCTTTTTTTTCGCGCCAAAAGCGCTCTTTTCACTTTCTGGTCGAATTTCCCTCTTGTAAAATATCTTAACGCTATTGATCCATTGTTTCTTTGAGTGTATTATTTTGTAATACTGCTCAAGGACAATTCATTGCTGTATATATACGTTTGATTTTTCCCCTTATGATTGCTGTACTTCTGTCTGCTATGGAATATATTTTCCCCGCTTCCAACTTGGACTTCTTACCCTAGTTGGCTGGGTTTGGGTCACGTCAGAATAGCTAGCTTATCGGTCTCTGGTCACAAGTCTTTGTTCCGTTCGCTACTAGTGAATTCGAAACGCTCCAGACATAACACCATTCGATGGCGAAACAGCTGTCCAGTGCTTCCTGGAATTCATTGGTTGTTTAACTAAAACTATACAAGTATACTCAATAGCATGTTATTCACTTTACCCCCAGAGAGTAGACTAAGTTAGCCATCTAAATAAATTTTGAGAAGAGAAAACTATTCCAATTCATGCATATATGTAGTGTGAAATAATTATTAATCATGTGAACGAATAATCAGTTCATATGAAGGTCAATTAATGACATGATCAATTATACTCTCTAATGAATATACTCAATAAAATGTCAAAAAGCAATGCGAAATCTTCACGTTATTGTAGTATTAACTTCGTAAAGAATCAAGAAGTTAGTTCCTATGATAAACTTAGATGAAAACGACGTTCATCACCCTCCTTGACTTTGTATAAAAGTTTAAAAGGTAAATACTTGCGTTTGTTGAAGACCGAGCCATACGAAAGTTCAATATATACACACACTCCAACATATTGTTGAAAACAGTTTGCACTTACACTAAATCAGCTGTGGCAAAATTAATTTATTATCGAGAATGGATAATTATGATTATGTATAAACTTAAACTGATGACTGTTTTTGAGAGGTAATTGCTAGAGCAACAGTGAGAAGCCATGACCAGTAGAGTTCAATCACATAGGTGTGAGACAGTTACTCACAAAGACATTGCAAGATAGTTGTGCAATAACGCGAATTGATTGGATGGTCTTGGATCTGATCCCGATGAGGTTGTGAATGAACACTTTTAAGGAGTCCTATATTAGCCCGGAACAGCTGTCCAGTGCTTTCTAGTTTTCAATGGCTATCCAAATAAGTTCGGTCAATGATGTGTAAATTATAAAGCTGAATGATCTCAAAAAAAACCCTTATAGTCAAATATGATGACATTATTGGCTGATAAAAACTATTTAGAACATTGATTCAAACTTTTTATAATCAAGAAATGAGATCTATGGAGATAGTGTAATTTAAAATTAGTTTCCATACCAAACTGACAAGAACTGGAAAACCATCACAACAGTTTAAAAGCTAAACATGAAGTAGTGAGAACCAAGAAACTTCACATCACATGATATCCCCCTAACCAGGGTGCATCAAGATCCACTAGTCTACAGCACCACTGCCCAGTCAATTCGTAATCTTGTGTGACTTCAACAGCGAGTTAATATCACCAGTCAAATACACATACTACTGTTTTATTAGGCTGAAAACGCTACGCTCATTGTATGACATAGAAAAAGATATTTAGACCAGTTGAACAGGAATCTAAATTGAGGACTCTAATCCAAATATAAATCATGAATTTACCATTCAAATCAATGAATCTTACATCCATAATTAAACTGATAACTCTACAATATTTGATTGAATTTCAACTGATTATGAATGAAAAGTATGGTTCAACAGAAAAAACTATCTTCAATAAACTAGACTGCATCAAAACAATTAAATTGTAGAACACAATTGAGCTTAAATGAAATAGATCCGCCACATACAAAAAAACTTTGATTGATCACTGTACTGAGTAGTGACCAATATCAAGTTGAAATAGTCCTCTTTAGTGCTTCCCCAATTCTATAGATCAAGTTTTAATGTGGCCATTAGTTTGAATGGCTCGATAATGTGTATGCCGTTTTAAGATGTTAGGTAGTCGGAAGTAGTTGATAAGAAACCTTGGGACTATGATTCAAGTTATTTGGCACTTGATAACAAGGCATACCTATAAAGTTGGAGGAAATGATGCACCCTATGGGATTTAATCAGTCAGTCATAAGTATATCAATCTTTCCTACAAGTGTATTTACCAGTTTGCTTACTCCTAAGGGGAGCATTTTATATTGGTTACATAAAGCGTGCATTTTTCAACCTTATATCTGAACACTACCCAGTATAAGTATGATTATCGACAGGTGAATCCAAATCAATAAATAGTGTTACTATCGAGTATCAAACCAATGATGACCAACTCTCTGCAACAGAATCTTCATTTGAAATTATTAACACAGCCAGACGAACTGGTTCTGAAGAAATTTAGGTAAAAAAGCTTATTCACAATGGAGGTTTTGTTGATTTATCAAATGAAGCCTGATCTTCGTATTCTCTCATACTTCACTTCGCCATGGTCCCCGACAATATTACATTTTAAGTTATTTTCAACACTTATTTGTCTCTTCTTTATATTCATATCTCTCCAATATTTGATTTGTGTTCTTATTACCTACCAACTATTATGCAACTTTAGATCCTTGATCAAGCACAGTTATATACCATCGACCTCAATTCCTGTTTAGCACACTGAATTATGGGCCTTAATAATTCGGCTTATTATTTGCTTCTGTCTGTACATTTCGTTTCAGTAGGAAAATAACAACTAACCTGGCCACATTGCAACTTAATCGATAGCATTCGATCAGCACTAAGAAGGACTTGACACGAATGACATTGATCACCACCCAGTGATCAATCAATTGTGATTACATCTCAGTCCTACAGAAGGTCGGTCGCGGCCCGAATAGCTCAGTGGTAATGTCTCTGACTGTGAAGCTGAGTGACACGGGATCGAATCCGTCAGGGAATATCAGTTCCCTTAAGATTACAGGTACACCTTGCTGACGAGTGCCAAGTAGCACGAAACCCGGGTCCAGGGTTTCCTGTTGACCACCTCCAACCACCATCTTATCTCAATAACGACTAACCTATTTGTGATCGTGAGAATACTTGACACATTTCATACTGAATAAAATAATTGGATACACTTAAATGAAGCATGACATAGTCATTGTGAAAAACTGGGAACACCAGACAACAAGCTTCTGTACTCATGTGTTTTAAGCCCAAAAGTGTTAGGTGAGAAATAATAATCGAAGCATACCATAAGACAAAACCAACTGAGCTATTTGTCAAGGTTTTAGCTTATAAACCTGAAGGATATATATCCACAAGGTAGTGGAGCAACGTTAGGAGATGCAGTCCTATGGAAGCAGGTGACCAACAATTGGTTCATACGCCATTTGTTCCCTCAGGATACTGGAACCCATGTGAACCACTAGTTTGGAATCAGGGTTTTCCAACTACCCTAGGTGAATCTTACGTGTCCACCAACTCGGTTAAAACGCTGGACATTCGCTTTTCGTTCTCTCAATTTCGTAAACAACATCCCCACCGTGAGAAGGTAGTGAGTGGAACTTCCCTGTCAGCGGTTGTATGCACATGGCCATGTGAGAGCATTTTGAGAGGGAGAACGGACTCTCCCCACCCTCGACTGTACCAGAGCATTTGAGGGGAGGATATATATATATATATATATATATATATATATATATATAACCAATAATTAGTGTACATCATTATTCGGTTGACAATTCAGGCTCCCTGCTCTTTCTTGTTCTTCTCAATCGAATAAAAGGTTAGACAAGCGTTTAGGAAGCGTATATTTTTGTATCCGAAGTGGATAGTCATAAAATGGGATACTCGTCGCCATCTCGCAACAGTGTTTCCTATATGCGATTTTTGTCAATTACAAAGTGCCTTGTTATAAAATAAAACCAAGGAGCACTATAAGCAAGGAAGATCAAATTTAAGAGGAACTCAGGGTGCATTATTAATGGTCTTTTTCTTCAATACTTGATCCTAAATACATTGTGTGCTATTCTTACGGAAGCACATTAATAATTGTAATTATCTTTCACTTTTTAAAAAAAAAGTTGTTTTGTGCACATCAGCAATCACTTACAAATGTGAGCCAGTTGTCTGAACATACACATACACACGCGTACTCAAGGAAACAAACAGACCCCTTTCTAAGTACATAACAACGGACTGCTAGCTATTGTCTGACTTAACCCTATTGCAGTTTATTATACAAAATAAAAAATAGATTGGCAAAAAATCCAGACGCAGTGCTCCTCCGAAAGTGAGAAAGACGAGTCACGGAACCCATTTGGTTCCACGTGATTTTTCGTGATAATTGTGCTAACAATGATGTACACATTCAGATGCTTTTACCTACATACATACGCACATGAATAAATTGAATAATCGATAAACAAAAGGTTCTAATGTAATAGTTTTTGTAATGCGTAAAGAACGTGAACATTAGTGGAAAAAGAAACCCAAACTATACACACACACATACACGCCGTACAACTAGATACAATACATACAAACAAATCTTCAATGTATAGTATACAATTCGCAAAACTATTACACTTGACACGTGAAACAACTAAAATTTAAACTAGAAAAAAGAGAACTAACCCTGTTGGAGTAGTCCAGTTTTCATCCTGAGGATCTAATTCATCGAAATTTACAGTAGTAATAGCAGTTCTTATTGCACTGTTATCGATATTATTGTTACTACGACAACTGGTACAGTTACTGCTCGAAGGCAAATTATTATCATCATCATTAGTAGTATAGTGACAAACATGTTCATTCAATTCATTACTGTTATTGCTGGTAGAAATATCATTAGTTCCACTGATTGCATTAAAAGAAATATTTGATGTAGAATTATGATTGGAGGAATTCACATTTGATAATAACATAGATGATGATAGAGATGGTGAAGATGACGATGGTAAACATATTTGTGACAAAATTGTCTCTATGTTCAGTGCCCGTTCAAACGTTGTCAACATCCCATTGATTTCTGTCAAACTGATATTGGTATAATGTGTTAGTCTGTTGTTTTGTTCAAAGTGTAAACAATGAAAAATTAGTATTAGAAGGGATAAATAAGTAATATCATTAAGGCAATACAAATTATGGTTCGTATAAAAGACTACAATTAATGTTATCATTAATGACTGATTACTGAGTGATAACATGTTTATCTAGTCCTTAAGTGGTGATTGAATTCCATAAATTTACTTGAAATCTGGTCACTAATCAAAGTGACTCAACGCAGTGTACAGATGTAAGTGTTTAAAGATAGTCGACAGAGAAGACTGAACTAAAGATTCGTAATAGTTCCTCCTCATCAGCAAGGCACACATACAGTTTTGAGTTTTGGAACTCACATCACTAAACTAAACAAACATGGCATTCGTTACTGTGCAGTGACCAATATTTTATAAAAAAACCCAGCGATAACGTCTCAAACTGTGAAGCTGGATGACAAGAAACCCACAGAGAGCATCGATTCCCTCGGGAATAAAACTACGCCTTCCCGATTAGTATCAACTAACGCGGAACCTTTGTTCAGGATTACCTGTCGACAGTCAACCAACATATTAGCAATATCTCGAATTAGGGACAATCACATTCTGATTATTGACTTTTAACAGCTTTATCAAATTCTATATGATAGAAAATTTGATAAAATAGGCTTACGCTCAGGCTAGTTCTTATTGATAATGATAAGAAAGAAAAAATTCAGTGAACCTATTTTTGTGAGGTTGTTTAAGATTGTGGTATTGAGACATCATTATTGGTCTACATTAGGAACAGAAGCGAAAGATTATCGGCTGTTTTGTTATGCATCATTTTGCTGGTAAACCTTATATAGAGTAAATTTTTTAAATATTCTGTCAGCTGGTCACTGGTTCCGTCCTTTCAGATTTACAGAGTTAGGATTTTTGGATCGACTTCTTGAATGCAATTATCACACTGATCATAACGTAAATCTCAATAAAACATTAATCAATTCAACTGCGCTGTCGTAACACTTGTGACAGACATGATATTAGTAGTTGAAAAAATTTACCAGACAGTGGTATTCTCGATGAATTTTTATTCAATAGACACCAAATTCTGGAAAAGCTGAAAAAAATGGAGTTTACTTAGCTACAGCCACGGTTACTAAAAATATAATCCAAATCATATTGGTCGAGAACTAGTTCACAAAAGAGAAAGCATGGTATGACGACGAGGCAATCAGAAATGTGAAAGTGATTTTAATTTCTGTGAGGAATTCAAAAAGGAATGGTTTTTACCTTATATCATATAAAATGTGCGGTAGGAATACCTTTGTACATTACTCAGAACGCGGAAATAATTTGTGGTAAGATGGATGTTCTGGAGTTATCTGGACGACCTTATATGTGACTGGTTTTCCGATTTGCCTTTTTTGCCACAAACTAATCATTTACATTAACTGTTTCCCAATTAGTTAACATTGAGCTACAAGTCGTCGTGGTTATTTCAAGAATCATTGAAAATCACTCTGATACTACACTATAGCTGTTCACTAGAACTATTTAAACTGTCCATTGTTACTCTTGAAAAAAAGATATACGGCTATCAGACTTTTAAAAAGGGAGAAAGTATATTAATTATATTGTACATTCCTCTGGACATCAAGCAGCATTTGAGGTGTACAGTTCGTCTTATGTAATACAAATGATTTAGGATCGCTAATACGGAAGCTAATAGGAATTCTAATGAATATCAAAAGCCTTCAACTAGTCCAAACTTTCACTCGCCACAGACCCTACATTAACTTTTAGGGCAGGTTATACATCAGTTATAAGTAAAGAATCACTAGTCTTGTGATTGTGAGTCTACGTAGTCATTTTAACAACTGGAAAGTAAAAAGAAGGATCTAGAAACCATTAAAAAAGCATTTAAATAACAGACTGATACAATAAATCAGTAGCTTTATTGCTTGATGAGCTAACGTTTCAATAGAAACATTGGACCAAACCAGCTGACTAGTTACAAGAAAAAGATTAGATACCAACAGCGATTCAGCACTAATTGACTTTATCTAGCCCCAAGTTAAATGTCAAGTTCCTCAACAGTCATAAAAATAGGTATACTATGCATAAATCACTAGCATAATTACGGAAATCCTACAGTTAATACTTATGGGTAGTGATTTTAAACAACCGCACTGAATTGTAGTAATATGCAATTGATAAGCTCAATAAAAAACCACCAGTTCATATTCAATGTGACTACTACAATTCCGTCACATAAATATGATACATACACAAATATATGAATTCACCAAAGGTATAAGAAATGAAGATTTTGTTTAACTATACAATCGAGGAAACAGTTTTTAAGTTTCACACCGAAAATTATCAATTGGTAATCTGTATCGCAAAGTTTACACTTCTTTTTGTGGTCTGAGATTCCCTTTACTTAAGATACACATTTCCTACGGCTGACCAGGTTTATCGTACAGATGTGAGAGGATTGGAGGGGATTAGTAGCAGAGTTTATTTGTTTTGTTTACACAAATCGGTGAGCGTACTGTACAGTCGATTTGAACTGAAGGGAATAATTTCGAGTTTTTGTGTGAAATTCATAAATGATTGATCATCATCTCTTATCACATCGAAGGCGTGAGAGCAATACCAGTAAAAGTATACTTTAGGGAAGAGTTTAAAAAACCGGGACGAATTTCCAACTAGTTCCCAGTCAATCAGTTAACACTTTTTATAAATAGATCGTTTATGAGGAAGAAAACAGTAGCATCATAAAGTGTGAACTGAGTTATATAACTAATAAATATATTGATGTCTTGTACAGGTCACTATGCTTGTAAATCGAAAAAAACCACGACATATAAACTCTTCCTTATAGGAGATAGATTGTCCACTGTTTCAGACTCTTATAAAAACTCGAACGAAATTTTGAGAGTTCCCACAATGTTCCTAGTTAGGGTTAAATATTTAGAGTGAGGTTTAAGGGTTGGAATTTGAGATGGTGGACATTAGTTTCAGTGTCAAATTTTTCCGAAGACATATAGATGAATAAACTTCATTCCGAACTACAAGGGGTGCCACCTGATTAGTTCACCCATCAAATGAAGTGTTACCAGGTTAGGAAGAGTTTCAGTATTAAGAGCTTAAAGATAAGGTCTATGTGCCTATTATATACAACGTAAAGAGGAAAATCACGCATTTAATGCGTTTAATACTATCAATTTTACTCTGCTGTAGTATAAGTATAATTTTCCGCTATTGTTTTCAATGTTTTGAGCAGTATATAAAAGTACTTTTACTGCTCATCATACATAATACTTGAATTTCGCGCAAAAACTTAGACGTTACCCTCTCGATTGTGATTAGCTTGTCATTTTATTGATGGTTTATTGAATAATAGGTGAGCTGGTGAAGTAGTAATGTCAAAATCGGTAACGATTTTTACACATCGATAGGGTGATAACGATAGTTCAATAATAAAACTGTTCATGAATATGAGAAACATTCAAGAAATCATTAGCGTGAGAAAGTTCGCACTCATGTCAATTCTATTATGTGGAGTTAACTTACAAATGTAATGACGCAAAATCGGATACCTTGAAATTTAAATAAACTTCATAAAACCACTAAACTTTGACTTTTATTGTGAAATACTTTTGATCCATACAGACTCTCTGCTCATTGGTGAACACTACTTCCAAGACCATATAGACATTATAAAAACCACTCATTGTTATCTGCATTCTACAATTTTACTGATAAAACACGAGCACTTATACAATTTTCCTCCCTGGCCTAAACACCATGTGAGCTGAAGCCTTGACTAAAGCAATAATCTACTTCTAACAACATCCTCCACTGTAACGTCTCACCTAGTATTTGACCTTGAGACGACAAGCAAACCGTTTGACTTTTACAAAAGCAAGTGATATATCTAGATTTCCCCAATCTAACTCTCATTCAAACCCTCCTTTTAACATTCACTCAAAGTGAACATATGGAACTTTCTTTTGACAAAGCTGTCATAATGAATACCTGTCAATAATATCACTTTTAAATACTGAAAATTTGTTTCATCGAATATAACTTGAGGACTACATATCTATATCAACACAGCAAATATATATTGTTTGAAAATGAAGTGAGATAGGTTAAGAATTCCTACAAAGATGGGTACTCACGACAACAGATAGGATGGAAACTGATGAAGAAAAAAAATCACTATTTAGTCATAGAGCTAGAATATAATGATTTGTATCTTTCTGTATGGTATTTATACATATTATAGCCAATGAGGTTAATTATTGTTTTACTTGTCATTCCCTTTTCCAACCTCATTTAGTATAACACCTCATTCTAACGATAACACGCGTAAGTTTAACATTTCGTAATTCGCTTTATGGTTGGTTGTTCTAAGTGACCTAGACGTAGTGGAAGAGTTTATCTATTACAATCGGTTGTGGCTTAATTGTTCAAGTTATATCGCTTGTACTGTTGCCTTGTTGAATTAACACTTAGTCAACCATCGTTGATTTTTGGGTGTACAGTCATTAATTGAAGTTGATATTATCGAGCTCAATATGTTTGTCATATTCCAATCTAACTAAAGATATAAATTAACTGATAAGTATTTATATTTGTCCAAAACATCTTGTTGATGATCGTGTTTATAACTGAAAGCTGAACATGAACATGTTATAGAAAACAGAATTTTATAGTTAAACCTCAGAACAGAAAAATTTGATGAGTTGCACAATTAGGTTATGTCTAGCCTTTAGATGGTTGTTTATAAAAAGTGAAAAAGTGGTCACCTTCACTGACATGCATACATTCACGCATACAACCTGCAAACGCAGTTGCATAGTCTTTTTTGAGAATTAGAATGTTCAAGAAGTAGTCTACAAGGGAATCAAACCAATACCAAAGATAATGTAATGCTCGACAAAATATCTCACTCCCTCTCTCTATACATATACATATTGTATAATTAAGCGATGATAATCGATCCATACCACTGTAGAGAATAGA